GCAAGTTTAACTATTGAAAACAAGAATTATACAAATAGAAATCAAGTTCTTGTACAACCTCTACCAGCTATCATCAAATCAGCAGGCGTTACAGCACATCTCGAAGAAGTCCTCTCTCTGCAATATTTGAAGGACCTTAACGTAGCAAATATCCAACAAATCAATGCCATCAACACTAAATACAAAATCAGCCTATTCACTGGGTCCACAGCAATAATACTATTACTTTTTGCCCCGTTTGTAATGATAGCAAGGAAGATCCTCCTCAAACGAAAAACAAAATTTCGTATTCAGATCAATAATAATCTTACACCAACGAAAGGATCAATCCCTACACTTGACGATATTTCAAGGACATCCAACGAGGACGCTGCATGTTCTCAAGGGGGAGGAGTTAACGCAACATACGCCGAAATTGGCTTACATAGCTTTTACAAATAACCAACCACTAAAAGCTTACGTAAGTATGCGACTCGGACAGCGGTCGCTATCCCACGGTTAAACGACACAACACGCGCATCCGGAGTAAATGATGATACAGCACCGCCGCTACTTGAGAACGTCAGTGCTGCTTTTCAACAACAACAACGACTTCAATGCACCTGTACGTGCAACGTGGCTTGCTAGTATAAATTAGGCGTAAGAAGATTTTTGTAATGAATTCTAAGTTTGATGTTAAACAATAAATAACTTATACAATGTGCTACATACATATGAACATGCACACATACACATATATTAATATAGTTAAGATAGTTCTTAAAATTGTATATAAATACGTGAAAATTTTAAATAAAATCAGACTAAAATAGTTCTTGTAGAAGTAAACACTTCTCGTAGAATGAAATAGTTCTCAGCTTAAATAAAATCTTTATTTTCCCCCCACCAGTGGTAACGATATAAAGCATCTTATTTAAATTTAAAAGTTTGATCTTACAAATCAAACAGTTTTATTACAATTCAAACACAACGTGTTGGTTTGAGTCGGTACTCCGGTGTCGCTGTTTACCCTCTGAATACCTTCTGATCTTTATTAGTCAATTCACTTATATTTATATTCTTACAATTCTATATGTAACGGCTTATTACTAAAGATGCTTTGGCATTACATTAAGTGATGAAATTCCAGAGCATTGAGTTTCTAATTATTCTCATTATCAAAAGAAATAATGGAATATTGAATTATGCTTACATACTAAAACAAATGAAGTATTCATTTCTTATTAATTAAAGTATTCTGCTGACCAAGCAGTAATACTGTGGGAAGACACAATTTGCTGCTGCCGTTAACTTGCATAGTAATATTTATAGTCAATTTCTATTTGCATATTTAATAACTTTATTTGATTTTTACATAATATACTTAAATATACTAATAAGCATTTTTGTATTATGTTTCTTACTAATAGAAATCAAATTTATCACAATATTATGTAAATACATCGTCTATCATATTAATCTTAATATCTGCTCATATGATTGCATATGTAAGCATGTGCGCGTTCAGAAATTAAATTATGTTTTTATCACTTATCAATATATTGCATATGCGCGCATTGATCTGCATGCTCCTATAATACATTCATATATACTTATACGTACAAATATTTGTATAAATTGCCGAACAAATAATGCATAAGCATACAAACATACACATGGGTACTCATGTGAATATGTCACCAAAAAAAAATTTAAGCATTGTTCTACAAAAACCACAATTGTCTCAGATATAAGAAGCATCACATGTCAATATTGCAGCCGAATTGGCGAAGCCCAAATGTAGTAAATTTTACAACAAAAACGATTTCGTTCATAACGCCGGCGCATATGCCACAAGCGACCTCGCTTCATTCATAAAAACGGACGCTGTAACATCTTCCCGAACATGCCTTTGCCTAAATTGAACAACTTTCTGATGCTTCTTCACAGAAAGGAGTCAGAAAAGTGGCAACAACGGAGTTGTCGATTTATAATATTTGTCCATTCTAAAATATTTTTCCGTGACTCGCAAAAATTTGCGTCGATATGTATTCAATCTCATACATATGCATACATATTTACCCTAGTTTGTAGGGGAAGCTGTTACAGCGGCAAGGGAAGCGGTCAATAGGCGGCCATTCGTTTGTTTTTTTTCGGCACAGCCTGGATTTTCTATCATCACACAAGTGCTCAACCAATGAGCGTGACAGATATTAGAATACACACGTTCTTAAGGACACAGGTATTGAGACAGCTGCACAACTACATAACTGTGCCCCTAAGAACGTGTGTATTTTAATATTTGGCAGATGTCGCTTGCAGTCTGTCGTGCTCAATGCGTTCAGCGCTTGACTCTTTGACAAAACGTAAGTTTCGGCCATTGGTTGACCGTGACAACGGAGATGCGAAAGAAGCGTGCGACACTTGTGATTATGAATGTATGTACATATGTATATGGCTCGCATTTGCTTTAGTAAACATACAGACAAATGTGCCAAAGAAATAATATATGTACATATGCATGTGTCATGTCTGAGTGGGTTGCGTTAGGTTTTTTCGTTGCGGAATTTCTGGATTCGGTCCCCGCGCTCAAGGCCTGCGATAGAAGCTATGCAATAGCCTAATAAAATATAATATACATACATGTTATATTATTGCAATATAATATACTATATAACATGTCCACATACATACATACATGTTTGTGAATTTATAATACATTTAGGCTATTCACGGTAAGGTAGTTATTAGATTAAAAATAACCTCTATGATCCGTGAACATCCCGTATTGTATGGTTATATGCTTATTTTTACACAAACAGCTGTTCATTGTTTACATTTTAAGTTCAATGAAATTTCTACTTATAAAATGCCTAAACAAAGTTTAAAAAGCAACATAATTGAATTTAAAATAAGTTCTGCTATTCAGAAAATGGACTTTA